TCATGATATATGCGACCAGCACATGCTCTCCGTTCCTAAGGTCATCAAGCGTAGAACAGGCAGACTCAACACCCACCTTTGATGTCACAGAAGCTGCAGAACTACAGCACTGCCTTGCAGCGAGTTGCTTTACCAAGGTCGCCTGGACAAGGCGAATATGAGCAAGACAAGGTCCCGAGCCGTGGGTTCATCGTAGCATGACGGAAACCAACTATAGGTCCAGTCGGTAAAGACCCCCCCCCATGTAGCCAGCCGAAGCTTAACCCAACTACCCAACATGCAATGCACGACGACACACGATGCGAATCTGCGGCACAACTTCACGAGAATTCTGCGAGTACCTCCTCGCGCAATCAAGGAATGAAGGCAGAGGTAGAAAAGAAATTCCAACATTCTGCCGGGCGAATGGATTCGGGTGTCTTCCTAGGCAGTCATTCTATGTTCGCGTTGGTTATGGCACAAATGCCTACCTTTCTAGTTTGGACCCCGATGTGACGACCACTCAGCTGTCCGGACGATGCAAAGCCCTGCGCCCGAACGAACAGCACGAATGGACGACTGACTGAATGGAGGATGCTGAGCCGTGCGGCCCTCACCCAGCCTCATCCAGAGTGAGGTCGGCATACCGGCTTGACTGCTCCAAAGCACGACCGGCCGTGGCATCCTGCAAAGGCCCAGCTTTCGATGAGCCGGGGTTAAGGCTCGCCTGAACCATCGACCCCCAAGCCAAATGAAAGACAAGTTTTGCGACACCTGTTGTCCCGGCAGAAAGGTCCTGTGCCACTGTAGTCTCTGCAGGCTCCTCTTCCGGCTCTGGCATCTTCTCGTGTGCAAGGCGCGTGTCACGCGTCTCAGCGCTGTAGGTCCAAAATGGCTCCTGCGTTTTGACTTTCGACATCTCTCGGCTCAGGACTCAAAGCGCGACACTTCGGTTTTACTGGAGCTTGGGATGCTGTGAGGGGACTGGAGGAAGATTAATTCATGCCTTGCCCTTGTAACGTGATGCTCTTGCCCCCTTCGTCCGAAGATCAATCAAGACAGCCCCAAATCCTGCTGCGCCGCTTCGGCACCAGCACCATCAGAGCCGAACTCCTCCTGCTTCTTGGCCGACTTCTTGTCATCAGGTGGCATACCACTTACTTCCCGGAAATCACCAAGGCCGGTCCCGTAAGCGAAGAGATCGGGCAAGCTTGAGCTCTGCATTGGCGCCGATTTGCCGGAGGATCGAGCCGTCGAGGCAAACTGCCGGTCGTCCCCCGGTCGTGGGTTCGGGCTGATTGACCGGTGTTCAACCTGCTCCGAGAAGCTGAGGGTCTTCCTCGGCTTGGGCTTGTTGGCATCCCGCAAAGCTGGGGCCAGCGGACTTCCCCTGGAAGCTCGAGACCCCGCCGAACTGCGGGGCGAACTCTCCGGCGACGGCCCGCAGATCTGCTCGCTCATCGCTTCTGCCGGCATTCGTGCAGCAGTGCTCGTTGCAGCTGCTGTCTCAAGGACGCTTCTGCGAACCTCGCTCCCCGTGACGCTCCCCGTCTCTGTTGCCTGCTGCATGAAGTTCTTGTCGGAATTCGCCCTTTCAGACTCCTCACGCAACATGGAACCTAAAGACACTATAGACACTATATGATCAGCAGAAGCATGCACACCAATTTGGACTTGCTTGGACCTGGGGCACATTCTGGAACACCGTGCGGGCGTCAAGGTCCTTCTTTGGCGAATCCTGCTCTAGCTGCGACTCTAGCTGCATGCTCGGGGTCGGGGCTTTCAGGGCCTTGCCAAGTGGGCGATTGATTTCAGATTTTGGCCGTCCTGAATCACAGCATCCGGCAGCGTGCTTCCGGCTCCAAGCAAGGTTCGCGCCGTGTTGCTGCTGGCAGCAGGGATACTCTTGACCGCGCCGGTGTACGGGTTGACCGCTGGTCCCGCTGGCCCTTGCGAGGCCATCTTCGTGGGATCCTTGCTTATGCCCGTCGAGGCTGCTTTAGCGGAGGAGGCCGTAGAGATCTTTGTAGGCACGAAGCTGGCTGCCGGTACGGACGCCACGCCTGTGCAGCCTAGCTTCTCCTTCCAGCCCGGGTATATCTCGTCTGCTTCCTTCGGGAAGGTGAGGAAAGCACCCTTGATCTCCTCGTGGGTCTTGGCGAACTCAACGACGCCATCACTTAAGCTCACGTTGCCATACTGTCCAGACCTCCAGGCTTTCCATGCTTCCTCAACTTGGCGGCAGGCGATTGCACCAGATGCGGGGCCGTCCTTGTGGCCGAAGAAACCGCCGACGGCAGTTAGGATCACGTTAGAGTGGCCCAGGTTCTGGAATACAGCCGGTAGGCGGAGAACGGTCATGCTCCCGGCAATGATGGGGACGTTCTGCTTCATACTCTCCCACTCCTGATAATACAAGCAGGTATTTTCACCAGCGTCGTCCTGCAGCATGACGGCGATAACCTTGTCGGGGGATTCACCCTGCGTCTTGCCGAAGCTACTGGTGTCGGCGTGGATGCTGATCGTGCTGCTAACCTGGGAGATCTTTGTGTGCACGAAGGCAGAGTAGCCGCGCTGGGTCTGGGGGCTGCTTGTGGATGCTTGTCCCGCACGATGGTAGTGCAAGAACTGCTTGGGGAAAGTGTGCTGGGCACTGCCTCTCGCTGCATATCCTGCCACCAAGGAAACGCAAGTTTTGCAGAAAGGCCCAAACTGTGACAGAATGTACTTGCCACGTGCGATCATTTCGTTCGGATCATCCGCGTAGTTGTTGCCGGAGAACATCTTGCGCACACCAGTTGCTTGGACACACGCTCTCATGGCCATTACCACTTCTGGGATGCCCTCGTTCATCTGGCCAAAAGCCTGGTTGCCCTGCGACTTCTCTGTCTTGGTGTAAATGCCTCCTTGCCACAATGCATAGGAAGCCCCTCGGAAAGGTTTTGGCTGCATGCCAAGCTTGGGCTTCACGGCACCTGCCTCAAGGCCTCCATTGCTGGCGCCCTTGTCCAGGATGCGCCACATCGCGTTCACAGATGGGCTGTCCTGCAATCGCAAGAACGACGGGGGCAAATAGAAGTCGTAGATCTTGCCCAACTCGACATCTTCCATACCTCAGCGGAACCAAGTTTCACGAGTCACGGATATCTAGTCTCTGCATGGCACAGATTCCTAGCAAGACCTCGTGTGACACCGAGGCCCTGACCCTGAGTGTTGCCAATGGCCAGATTTAAGAAAGAGCGCAACATGTCTCGACCATCGATGAGGCTGCAGTCGAAGAAAGCAGTCGGGTAGGCAATCTTCACCTCCTCGCTTCCTGGGTCGATGTCATACACCAGGGCATCATTGGACCCAGTGCAATGCTTGGCCGACTCAGCAGCGAAGTGCATGGCAGTGGCCAAGTAGTCACACCCCACGTTGGCCTTCATCTTGAATTTTACAAGCACGTGCTGGCCATTCCTCACAACTGAAGATCTGCATGCTTTTTCTCGACCAGATGCACCCGACAGAGCACTGCACATGGCATGAACTACAGTCCAACGACTGCAGGACGCCTACTTGCAGCCGAGTCACTTGATCAAGGTCGCCTATGCAAAAACGAAGAGCTATCAAAAGCAAAGGGTGCTTTGTCCTTTGTGCAAGGGTGCAAACAATCTTACATGTTGAAAGAGGGAGGAAGAACAAGTCCCTGCCAAACTTACTCCCATAGTTACAACGTTCGACTCTCCAGCTTTCTAGTGCTTGATCAGTGTAGCCTCGATGACTGAACCCAGGCAGACATGCGCACTTTCCCTGATCCTAGAAGGCCCCTGGCTGCAAACACCAGACGACCCTCGGTGCATCTGCCAAAACTCCTTCCAGCCTCGTCCCGGCAGACTCGCGACACGTCATGAGAGTCCTCCTCGGCGTCGGCCGTGTCCTGCAAATCAGAGATGTGAGGCATGCGAGAACTTCGAGAGCCGAGATCCGGGCTTCGATGGCTTCGAACTTCGGCTGACGTGGTAGGCGCCCGGCGTCCTTGATTACAAGGTCCAGCTGCTCGCTCGTGAGGTCCGCGTCGTCTGCTTCGTCAGCCTTGCTCTCGGAGATGTTGGACTCTGTCATGCTGCACACAGTGGCTATGACTTGCGAGATCGTGGCGTGGACGAAAGCGGTGTAGCCACACTGGGATTGGTCAATGTCTGTCGTGGTAGCCTTTTCTGCAACATAACTTTCGGCCAGAACTGCGAAGCTCCTGCACAAAGCTTTGAACTGCGACACAAGGTATTTGCCACGGTCAATCATTAGGCTGTCGTCTGTGGCCACCTTGCCAGGGCCAGCCTTCTTCATGCAGGCCTCCATGGACTCGACAACCTCAGGAACGCACTCGGTCTGGCCCAGTAGGGAGTTCTGCAAGTCCCCCTGCCAATACTTGGAGCAAGGGTAGCCGACAGGCTTTACGCCAAGCTGTGACTTCATGCCGCTGTCCGCCACTGCGCCTGACTGGTACGCGACTTTGATTCGTCGCAGGCCCAAGACACGCCAGGCACCCTCTATGGCCAGGGCAGGCCCGTCATACAACCGCAGGAAGCGTGGAGGCAAGTAGAAATCGTTGATCCGAATGTACTCCGCTGCCTCCGTGCCTGCAATAAACAGTAGCGTGTTTCGAACGAGAGCATGTGGCGGCAAGAGGGGATCAACGACGTTTTTGCTGCAAGAACAGGCACAACTTCCGCACAAATACTGCTCTCTGCTAGGTTGATTAGCCAAGTACTTCGCTGAAGACATCTATTCTCCCACGCAAACTGCACGAGCATCTGTATCCAGCATGTCCCCATTTCATTTGCTGATGCGGCAAGCTGTTGAGATTATGGGTGATGCTGCCGTGCAGTCCTACGATTGTTGTAGCTGCACGGGAATGAACACATATGTCAGGCATCGCAAGCGATTCGGGAGTTTGGCCATGCTCTGTAGATTCTTCTGCACACCCGGGCCCGACAAACCCAAAACTTGTTTAGCACTCGCGCTCGACGAACAGGCGAGTCTAGGGGCACAAGTAAGACAGAACTTACACCTTCATAGCAAGAGCCATGAGAAGCAACGTATTGGCTTCACGCATTTTTTTGTGCATCCACAGCTGACGGCGACGGCACGAAGACGGTGGCTCGTGACAAGTCGCTTGGTCTGCTTCCGGTGGCTCATGAACGGACCGCCAGCGAAGCATACGGACGAGCTCGGATTTTGACTGAGCTCTTTAGGAATTCGTGCGAAGGAACACACATTCACAGTGCGGCTTGGGAAAGGTTTACTGGGGCGTGCAAGCAGTCGCAAACACAGGCAACCTGACAGCACTGAAAGCCGTACAAGGCAGACAAGAGCGGAAGCAGCAGAAGCTCGGGCAACTACAGCAAGAGCAAAGTGTACAGTACTTGTGGACAGGCAGCTGGAGCATACCAAGCAACATCATGAGACAGAAGCTGCTGACGCCAAGACTAGCGACTAAAATTCCATCGTGAGAAAAGCAAAGATATCAAGCCTCCCCATATCTGTCTCCCTATGATACTGAAATGCGCACTGGCTGGTAAAAAACAACGAAAGTGCGGCCAATGAAACATCACATCAGAATTGCTAGGTCCTGCTAGGTTTGTCTCCATTGTCTGCGCAAGTCCTGATTGGTCGAGGCACATTGATTGCGGCGGATATTCAGATTGAGAAACGCGCAGGTGATGCTGGTGTCGTGTCCGAAAAGCTGCAAAGGATAAGCAAGCTTCATCTTGAAACTGTCTGGGTCGATGTCGTACACATGCACATCCAAAGAATCGAAATCATCTGGCGTGCTTGCACAGGATTCATGGCCGAATCGTGTGGCTGTGTCCAAAAAGCCATAACCCTCCTTAGGCTTCATGATGTATCCAACCAACACGTGGTCGCCGTTCCTCGGGCGAGCAAGTCTACGAAACAAAACCTGTGACAACTGGGATCAGGTCTCTTGCATGCACTTTCAAGATTACATAAGCCAAAACTCCGGATCAGATTGTCTTCATCAAAGTACAGGTCCCCATAAACACTGTAATGGTCACTCACCTGGCAAATTCAAGGGCTATGGCTGCAACTCATGTCCAAGATGAATCCTGTCCACTTCTGCTAGGATGCCTTGCGTTCCATGATCGGGGAATCCTCCTGCAGGAAACAGCCAACGTCTTCAATTGTGTCAGGGGCCGTATTCTATGCGGAACATGCTGCTTTCTTCATGACCTAGAATCTCTAAAGCTGATCCGTCAGAGGGGCCTCCGACAGGACTTGACAGGGCAGGATAGGGCGCTGGTTTTTACAATCCTAGGGCTCTGGACTACAGCGAGGGGTGATATCCTGCCACTGCCTGCAGAACTCTCACACCAACACCAACGCTACGACCAACAGCAACAGCAGCAGCCGCAGCCACCGACCACCACCACCACCGCCACCACCACCACCACCAACAACAACAGCAGCGGAAACACAAACAGAAAGCCAAGAAAGTCCTGCTGAGCGCTCTCGCCAGGGCGGCCGGCTTCCTGCTCAGAATGATCAGAAATCACCCGCGATTTTGGAGACCTCTCTGGAGAACTCATCTGACTCGGGTGGGCCTGCGGGGTGTCCGAGCTGGAAAGGTCGGCCTCACGATCATCTTCCTCAACGACCTGCCATCCGATTTCCTGCGCAGACTGAACAAAAGCATGCCGCTGGAAGCTGTCTCTACGGGCAAAGAGTCCAAGAACCACCATGGCCGAAAGATTTCACAAAGAAGGTCCTTTGTTGATCTTGCGGGACTTGCAATCTCGGTCTCGCGAGCATCTTCCTCTGATTCGCCAGCTGCTGAGCCGATTTCGAAGAACTCGGCAAGGCCAGAATTCGGCGCTGCGGAGTGTTGGCTGGATGTTTTGGGAGCCTCCCCTGAGAGCGTGGTAGGAAGTGTAGGAACTGTTGCATTGCCAGGCTCTTGGCCCTCCACTGAACCAGCGTCCTGTCCGACAGGACAGGGCCAAAGAACCCGCAATAACCCACACCTACCGAGGTAGAACTACGAATTCAGCATTTACGTCAATAAGAACTCATCAACTCGTCTGTCTGCGCCCTCGCTTTTGCCGCGCCTCCGCAGCCGCTGCCTCCTCCAGCTCTGCCACTGCCTGCGCAGCTGCTCGCTCCGCAGCTTTTGCCTCCGCAGCTGCGGCTTCCGCAGCCTGTGCAGCCTTGGCCTTTGGTTCACTAGGCTCATCAGCCTCTGGAGCTGAATCATCCATAGAACCGATGTCAAAAAACTCGGGCAAACCCGCGCTCTGCTGGGCAGTCGCCGGAGGATCGAGGTTCGAGGGGCCTGGACCTCCATCGCAGTCCGGAACGTCAACTTTCAACATGATCTCCATGGATTCCACCTTCTCAGCCTCTTCATCCGGACCGCCGACCACATCTGCAGAGGCTTCCGGATCCTCATCTGAACACTCGTCTGAGCATTCGGATCCCGATTCGTCCGGATCCTCACACTCTTGGTGGAGCTTGGTGGCCCCGGTGCTTGGCACATCGAGATGCTCCTCGTCGAGGTGGGGAGCCAGAATTTTATCGTCCTGTCCGACAGGAAAGCGCACACACAGGACCCACGCCTATAGCAAAGCTACACGACAAACAATCAAGCCAACGGCAGGCTCCTCCTCCGCTGCAGCTGCCGCCTCATCGGTTGCTTCCTCGGCACCCGGTTCGTCAGCCTTCGGGGAGCCAATGTCAAAAACCTGTGGTAGGTGCGACTGGGCTGAGTGGGAAGTCCCTGATGTTGCTTCAGGGTACCCGCCATCGTGTTCTACATTTGATGTGATGTCGGCGGGCTCCTCCTTCTCAGCCCCTTCCTTTGGGCCACTGGCATCATCTGCCTCTGCCTCGCTTCCCATCACGTCATGATACTCAGCCGAGTGGTGTGACGAATGCTCATCAACCTCGGCATCACGCACCTCCTCCTGCGAATCACTCACAGGATCCGGGCTAGCAGCATGGTCTTCACCATCTACTTTCGAAGTGATCTCTAGTGACTCATTCTTTTCGGCCTCCTCATTTGCATCTGCCGCTGCCTCGCTTCCCATCACATCATGATACTCAGCCGTGGAGTGGTGTGACGAATGCTCATCAACCTCGGCATCACGCACCTCCTCCTGCGAATCACTCACAGGATCCGGGTTAGCAGCAT